GAAGTAAAGAGATCCGATGCCAATGAAAGAAAGATAAAGTCTTATAATTTGTCGAGTTTGTTGAATTTTTGTTTCAAAACGATGATGGAAAAAAAACCACTTGGGGTTTTAAGTCGTTGATGGATTTGCGGTCGACAAGATTTGATTTAAAATTACATCAAGACATGTAGTGGGAACCAAAATTGTATTAAAAGGGTTTCCTCTTACGGATGGCATGCAAGCAGCATGGGAAATGTAGTTCTCTTTACCGAGAAGAAAAAAACTGGGTTCTGAAAGATAAAATTCTTCCACGAATCTATCACCCAAGTTTAACACCACGGCAGTTGTGAGAAAGACAGAGCCAATGCCTTTCGCGTCTTTTTTCTTTAAGACACGGTATTTAGCGTTACACGGCTTCAAATCGCTCGTAACATTTCAAGCAATGTGTTCATGGATGTTCGGCCACACATTCTCCACTGTAAAACCCAACACAGCCCCATTTTACGAAATGACGCTTCTTAAAAGCAAAGTTTTACCAGTGTCTATTTTTTTTTGTTAAACGCGACCAAGCCCTGTAAACCTACCCTATCTGAAGAAAGAAAATCACATGACGTTTACTTCAAATATAGAAGTAGACGTCATGTGATTTATGCCACTTAGGCAGCTGACTGATGAAATTACACGCATCTTCCCTTTCGGCGATGCAAGCCGTGCTAAAATAACGTACATGTGCCTGTACAGCCCTTTTGTCAGTTCACTGATTAATGGGGCCTCCCACACACTGTTCAGGGGGTCATGGGGCTTGCATGACCATACTTTACCAAGCCAGTTAGCTTGGGCTGTTGAGGGCAGCCAGAGGCAAAGACGTGGGAGCGTATTTTTTGGATCTTTCGGTAAAGCCACGTAGATAGAAAAATATTGGAGCGTATTGCAGCACAACAATAGATTTTGCTGCAGTGCCCTGTATCTCAGCAGCAGCAGCCCACAACACCTCCTGTTTTATGCATGGTGCTCACACTTCCAAGCACTTGCCAGGCTCACACCTGCTTGGCCTCAGAGATGGGTCTGCATTCGTTGTGAATTGGGTTATTAGCAGAAATTACATTACGCAGAGCATTAGAAGTAAAAATGCAGAACAGATAGGATCAATCCTTTGTCACGCAAACCGTTGCCGTTTCAAAGCTTATTTGGTTCGTGTCACAACAAAGGGGATCTTTAAAACAACAAACGTCAAACGTCCCACATTACGGCAGTGAGTAATGCGTCCTCAAGCGAAGTCATAAAAGTCACCCACATGACCAAAACATGATATTTTGTTTCGATTTGAAGCTTTCGTGACTGCAAGGATTCATCTTCTTTGGTTCTTTCGGTAAAGTCACGTAGAATGAGAATAAAATAAAAAAATAACACAATTAAATTCTCGCGACGTTTCGGCCACAACGCAAGCGGCCGTCTTCAGGTGAAAGGTACAGAGCTTAATTGAAGCTCTGTCGTCCCGACAGTTCTGTACCTTTCACCTGAAGACGGCCGCTTGCGTTGTGGCCGAAACGTGATAATTTTATTGTGTTATTTTATTATTTTATTTTTATTCTACATGACTTTACCGAAAGAACCAAAGAAGATGATATTTTGTTTCGATCGCCGCTATCGGCATCACGTCTCGAGACCAAAAAAAAATCCATTTGGAAATCTCGCAGAGAAATGTAAACCCGTGATAAAAAAACGGCCCATTGAAGTAGATATTACGGAGCTACATCTGAGATCCCTTCAAGTGACCAGTGGTCCACACGGTAGAGGGCAGCACTTGCCCATCCGCTCTGCCACATCAGAATAATTTTCCGCCAAAACCGAAATTTTATTTCTCAGAGTTGGAATTTAGCCAAATGAAGGGCACAACCAAATTTACTGGAAATGTTGTTGTTGTTGCTGTGCAGTCCATGTTTCTTGCCAGGCTGAGAATATCAACTCGCTATGCTTGAGGACCAGGTTCAGTAGCAGGCGGCTGCCTGGATTGGAATTCAGGCTATCGGCTGTACCAGCTGATCGCTATGACATCTGCGAGCCACGTGGCCGCATCGATTTTTCTTTTTAAAAATGGCCAAGCCAAGGGTCGTAATGGCTAGGGAGTTGCCGCCTTTCAATTCTGGGGCTAATCTCAAGAGATGGTGCGATAGGTCAACAATGGACACACACGTGGCAGCATACTTTAGCCCTGTCCGTTTTTGCTACACCTAATGAACACATACAAAGACGATGCGTTGATAGCCATAACCTTGCAAAAGAGTCATAAAAATCAGGGCAAAGACCCCATCACTCCCGTGCGTTTGCACGACAAACCTAACTCCACTTGTCCCAACGACCGATAAGCTAGAGGCGAGGAGGGGGGGGGTCTATGCCATTATGTATCCGACCTAACGGATCACCCAAAAAGGATATCACTCAAAGCAGAATAATATTCTGCATCAAATTTATTTCATGGGACATTCCAACCTCACTTGGGACAATCCCCTTTTGGCGATCATATTTACTTGCTCGTGATCGTAACGCGCGATCCACTCAGCAGAGATTCAGGATCAAAGATGAAATGTTGGCCGGAGCCGTTTGATGCGACCACACCACCTAGCCAACACCATCTACCCTCTGCCAGGTCCAGCAGTTGACACACGACCTCCGCGACGTGTCTCAACATCTGCTCTCAGGTCTTCCCCCTTGGTCACGGGATTCGTGGAGACCAACTTCTATGCCTGCGCCTCGGCAAACGGCCCTCCGCCGTGCTGCACGGCTTCTTTGGCTCCACAGTGACCGCACTCACCGCTCAAGTTATCTTCCGGACGTCCGCACTGCTGATGCTCTCTTGCCGCGACATTCCGAGCGTCCGTTTCGGACACCTGTGCTGACATGTCAACAACTAACAGCTCTCCTAGCCACGCAGCGATACAGAGAGCACTGCCGCCTGCAAACCCCGTTTTCTGCACATTCAGAATGACATCGCTTCTCTTCCAAAGTGGGTTCAATCCGGTACACATGTAACTTTGGACCAACTTTGGCACGTGGTTGAAACCACGGCCCAACGTTCTATGTTTCCTGCGCATAGCCAATCCAACGCTTGCTTTGCCAGTTACACCTTAGGGTCGAGTTTCATTTGGTTTCGTGCCAATTTGGTTTTAGGCCCCTGAGGAGAGGAGTCAAAGTAACCACAATCAATAAAACAAGTGCACCTGCTATCACGGCGGGGAACAAGAAAATCACGTAAAGTAACACTCGTCTCGTCAACATTGAAGCGAACACTGAAGTAAATAATAATAATGATGATAAAATAACATATGTCAACTTGATTTAAAGCTTTCGTGACTGCAGGAATCCATACTCTTTGGTTCGATCGCCACACAAGCAATCGTCTTCAAGTGGGAGAGAGAGAGAGACGGTTGCTTGTGTGGCGATAGAAACGTCGTGATCTATTATTGTTTCTACCCACGTGACTTTACCGAAAGAACCAAAGAGTAATGTCAACTTGTGATGCACCCAGTTGTCCCTCAATCTCGCAGAGAGACGATGTGACACAGAGGAGCAAGGAACTACAGACAAGCAGAAATGCAGCAGCCAAGGAGGTGAGCTGGTGACAACAATTGCCCAAGCTCTGTGATTTTCAAGATATAAAAACTCTTTCAGGAAATTAACGAGTGTCTATACAGGTTCATAAAAATGCAGACACGGTTGAGTTCATTCTGCAGGCAGCATCTTGTGCATTGGAACATCACAAATATGTCGCCCTAGCCAGTTGTAATGGGGCAGCAGTGGCAGGGTTGGCAGTAGACATGGCGACCCGAGTTCAATTGCCAGTCACGGCGAACATCAGTGGCGAGGGACATCTGAACGGACCTGCAGTGACCAGCGGCACACGGAAACTATCAAGCAACCCCCATGACCGACAAGGCATGGGCTGACCTTCATCCAGGGGTGGATTAACAAACAACCATTAAGTCTGAATTGTATTTATTACACCCATTTGTAAAATTGTCGGGAAATAATTGAACCCACGTTTTGCAGCGGCTGACACACGAGGTTTAAACATGACGTCAGGTGCCACACGGCTATGAAAACTAAACGACTTTTTTATTTTACCAGGTAAGCTCTGTAGCTCTTTTTCAAAAGCGACCTGGACACAAATGCTAGCTCAACGAAGCGGCTTATCACGTGGACATTTACAGCTGGCCAAATGACCTGAACGTACGTTTTTTAATTGTGGAGAGAACGATCCACGCGACCACGAGGAAGAACATACAAACTCCAAATATACAGCAGGTCACAGGGTCGGAATCGAACCCACGAACTCCTGCATACCAAGCGAGGGAGTTAACATCTCGCCACCGGCCACGGGCAAATGACCACGTTCAACTGCTGGATAAGCATCCGCAACCCACGGAGAGAGGCACGCTAAGGTCACGACCCCGGTGTCCCCACACCGCACGCCCCCGGCGAGTGACTCTTCTAGGGTTACGTTAGGCGGTGTCCCTACATGGGGTCCTTGTGCGGACAGCGCAGAATATAGGCTCCCGCTCAGGTCCGGTTATTCCTGGTTAAACACAGACATTTATGACGCCCGATAATAGGTGAGAGACGTGCGCCGACCTCGAGCAAGAGCGGTGGCGGGGGGGGGGAAACATGTCATGTCCAGGCAGATAAAGCCATCAGAAGTGAAGGAGCGGAGGAACGAGACTTTCAAATCAAAGAAATGTGCGACGGTATTTGCGTATTTACGGCAGGATGGGAACTGTGAAAAAAAAAAGTGCGTTGCGTTTTGTTTTTAGTTCGTCGAACGTTCGTCTACCGCAGAACGACACACTTATGAAATCTCCGCTGGCCATCGCTGCACAAGCGCTTATCGCAAAAACGCAAACACATCCGTTCAAAACAAAACACTGCCTTAAAAAAATGAGCAAAAAATGATTGCAAACACACACTGGGCAACGTTTCGGGCAACGGGCCCTCATTCGTGGCATTCAACAGGTTTCTTGACTCACGTTTGTCGCGACCCGGTGTGTGGGGTTTGGTGGGGGGGGGGGGGTGGTGGCGGTGGATGGTGGGGTTCCGAGTCCACGGTCAGCGATCTCCTCCGGCAGGGGCAGAGAGGCTCGGCGATGGACGAACAGGCGTATGCTGCACCCAATGGTGCACGCGAGTGCGATCCACTTTGCTCCCTCCCGCTCCGAGGGACAGAAGCGGATGCAGGCAGGGCGCCGCGGAAATTCAAGTTTTGTTGACCGCTGAAAAAAAGGGGGGGGGGGGGAGTAGCGGGAGTGAGGGTGGGGGGGGGGGTAAAAGCGTGTGGCGCTGGAGTGAAACGAGATACCGCTGATTTCACGGTCAGCTCAACGTGGGGGTTCGTGACGCAGAAAATATCGCGAATATTAAATCAAATTGCCGTAACAACCTTGGCTGGGATTAAACGGACCCTCGAGTGCAAAACTGTGCTATGTGGAGGCATAATCAATCTCTCTTGCACCCATTACCGCCTGCTTCACAAGTTTTTTGCCGTGGTATTTCAACGAATGCAATACGCTCAAGTTTAACAAAAAGTCAACGGCTCAATCCGCTTGCGTCTTTCTTACCCGGCGATTTCCGCTTCCCTCGCCCCAAAGTCTTTTCAGCACAGAGATCAGTCGTGTCGCCCAGGCATTGTTACGTTTCACCGTCAGCCATGTTCCATCCACTGCTCGATGAACGCCACCCCAATCCGTCTCGCTCCACAACCTCACTGCACAATCTCCGCGTTTGCCAGGCCCCATCGGGATGGCGTTCCCTCAATTGGCTGCGATTGTCACCACTTTTACCCACTGGCTATCATCCCTTCCATCGATGTGAAGTCCATGGGAACGGCAACCGTGGTAATAGCAACAGAAGAGTGACAAGGAGATGACCCACCACCAGTGACTGGAGTGAAGACAATTAGCAGTAGAGCAACAGATTTGTTCATTAACTGAACGTCGCAGTTCTACTCGCAACCATGCATTCGTTGTTTTATGTCTGCTAAATTATGCGAATATGCTGCTGCATTTAAAATTGTAAAATTAGGTTGTTGCCATTAATTTATCCTTTTAAGGGAATTCAATGAATTGGCGACGTACGATAATTCACGCGAATGTATTTTTTTTAAACAATACGGATTTACATTTCGCCAATGATTCGTGCCATATGTACATTGCGTTTGTTATTTAAAGATGGTTGCAGTTTGTTACGATAAAAGTAACGGACAATTTCATGTTTGACAGCTTACATTTACATGCGACGATCGTAAGAACAGATTGATAATCCTGGGTTTCCATTAAAGGGGGAAGCAAAATAAACTCTTGATTGTTTGAACCGCAACGTAGATCGTACAAGTGTTTTTTTTTTCCACAATAAAGATTTTCGTTTAACAACTGCGGCCGGCGTCACTGCAGCCGCGTGCTCAGATTTACGCGTCATTTTTACAGTTTCATTCAGATAATAACCGTCTGGAATTGGACGAAGGTCTTCGAGCGCGGCCTATTCCAAACGAAAACTCATCCCCACTTGCGTTATAAACGTGTGGTATTTATTACGCAAACATATCAACTTCTTTTTGCGCTGCACACAGGTAAGATAAGTGGGTTTTTAAACGTTTTTTTTTTACATTTCTACCCATCCTACCCATTTTTTTTATTATTTCAACGAATAACATTTTCCTCACCGCAATGTCAATTGAAAACCTGCCCAACAGTTTATAATCATCATCATCATCATCGGCCATGATCCGTCCACTGCTGGATGAAGGCACCCCAACGCCAAAGTCGTCACCAGCCCTCACGATCCTGCGTAGCCACCAGCACATGAAGCGGCTTTAATCGCTCCATCTCCGCGGTGGAACGACCTCTCAGTTACGCTGTGGCTTGGCTCTCCAACACAACCGGTATGTGCTGTACGAGTGATGAATTGGCCACGTTCTGTTCACGTGACAACCCTTACTAGTTGGCTGTGTCGGGTGGTGGCGGGTTTTAACGACACATTTATATATTTACGCGATCAAACCCAATAAACCTCTATTACGGACGTTCCGCTCACCATTGACTCTTCTCATATCGTATTGAAAAACGAACACGTTTTCATTCACTTTGAGGGTAAACCACTCAGTTTGGCTGCATGCCACTCTCTCTCTCTCTCTCTGCCCCCCCACCCCCATTGAAAAGATATCACCACTTTTTCACTTTCAGCTTCGACGTTTCATTCATGGGGACTTTTGGACACGGCTAACAAGACAGAGCTCGTGTTTTGGAACGTTAAACCGACGACATAAATAGTGAATGGCCCCCACTGTCAACTGGTATACCACGCAGAGGTACAAAGGAGAGAAGATCTGCTGACACGCTGTGCCCCAAACCCCGATTCACAAAGGGCCCTCTCTCCATGCTTTCTATCCCGAAACGTCGCTCGTTAAATCGCTCATGCTCTCGGCGAGTCAAGATTTCCAGGGTTGTTGGTCACACGCGGCTCACGATCACCACCACAGCTGCCTTGGTTCCTCGCGGTCAGAAGCCTCGAGAGAGAAATTGCCAAAAGTAAATGCTCATCCTAACTCTAAAATTATACGTTTTTGTCAACTGCTTAGGCATGCATGACGTATTTGTGGGATACATATTTGTGTAATGTGTGTGTTGAAAAAAAACTTCAACCGTGCAAAAATCCATCAAGCAAGATCACTCACAAACGACATCGACTCTATAAACGTGCTCACATTATGGAGCCATGTGTCTGTGGTACATTGAGTCTACAAGGACATAATGCACCATGGCTCGACCAGCGCTTCCCCTAAAGCCAAGACCAAATCTATCCACCTGAAAAAAAACCCCATAAAGAAATTCTTGCTCATACCACTGCTGGCAGAAATCTCCTCCACTACACAGAGCAGGAGAGAGCGGCCCCACCCCCCGTCCCTCCGCAAGGGTGTTTTTGGTCTACTCTTCCACGCTGGACAGATGTCTTGTAAGAGGTAGGGAGGGGGGGATCACCCACAGCTATTTCCACGACACGGAACCTGCGTTTTATCCATTAATACTGCCGGGTCGACAGTTTGTGAGCAAATTTAAGAAACTTGCACCATTGCTTCAACTTCCACGCTAGAATATCTACCCACCTACCTAATATTGTAACAACAACAAAACCTTTCTGGAGTGTCTATAATCCCCCGTAACTCTGTGCAGTGGAATATAATGATCTTTCTTTGAGGGGTCCTCTCGGCATCACTTTTAGGTGGTCAACGACCACAGCAGATGCCTGTTAATTTTTTTTTATCTAATTGTCTGCAATGTGGTCACAATTTACCAGGAGAGACGATTACATTGTGAACAATTAGCTGCTCACATTTGAAGTGGGGGAAAATAAACACTTAAACTACAAGAGTGGCTGTTTTAGGCAATGCCACGTGCACCATAAAAATCCACCGCAAGCCAATTCGGACGAAGCATTTGAAGACATCGCAGTTTAAGTGGGTGGACTGGGCAACAGTCTCAGGAAATTGCATAATTCGAACGTGCTTCAGTGTACAAGGGACACAGCAGGGAAGCATTGCTCAAGATGGTGGGAGATGATAATGTATTTTGTAAGAACAGGACATTATTTCATCTTTCTCGATTTTAAGAGACAAATGAATACCATTATTGGCTTGGCCTTTTTGAAAAAAGCTTGGAGATACATTTCAGGATTGGCACTACATCCCACGTTTGAATATCATTTCGTAACCAAGTGTCATCCCTGTTTGAATACGCTGTATCCACATCCCTTTCTCGATCGCGGGGTTTGTTTTAACCACACTTCACCACACTGGTCAGTGTGGGTTGCTGAAGGAGTCCGGGGGGGGGGGGGGGTCAGAACTGATTCAGATATCAATTGTCACCGATCCACTGGTGTTAGCCGTGGCCAGGAATCATACCCAGGTCGGCACGATCATAGCGCAATTGACCTACAAACTGCACCAAAGTGGATAGCGATTACTGCATGCTGCAAATGAAAATCGTTAACATAATTTCAAAAGTCACCTGAGTGTAATCGATGTAACAAACTACGATACAACTTCAAACAAAACTGAAAAAAACCTGCTGGTTTTCTAACCACTATTTATAACTTATTGGAGGTGCAGTTTGCAAAGCACTGCCCCCATCCAGCGTATTCTATATTTTTTGTTTACACAGCTTTAAAAAAAATGGGACAGAGGCCACAATGTACAGAACTGTCACGGAGGTGGGGGGGGGGGGTGCAGACTTCGGGTGGGAACAAGCTCGCTCAGACACTTGAGGGCATTAATTCACTTTGAGAGCTCCCCCTACCCCCCCCCCCTACACAGTGCCCTCGCCATGGTACATTCCTCATCCCCAAGGCGGAGTTTCACTTCCATATTTGGAGGTGGGGCGGCAGAAATTTGGCTTTGTCCCTCACACGAGGATTCGCGGGTGCATATAATGACTTTGTTTTTGTGATCTTCATTGTAAACTACTGAAAATAAAGTAATAAAGGTGGCCAGTTTGGGTGCGGCATTGCCCCCCGTGCCCCCCCAAAAGTGCCCCCCTTCCATCCCCCGCAAACTCTGCCCGTGCCTAATCCATCGCATGATCTAAAAACGGGGCTCGCATCACGCGCCGGGCTATTGTGTGTATGGTAACGTTGATGAGAAGTAGAATTGTCCAATAAATTGCAAATTATTTTAGTGAAGTCCCTGCGTTGGCAGTGGTGCACAAGCACAAACAACAATAAAAAAGTCACATTCGTCGATACTAATACTACTATGCGGCTATCAATGTAAAAATAATAATAGGTGACATTTCAGGCAACCATTATTCCTCTGTGTGCTATGAAAAAGGGATAGTGGCCCAAACGTCACCTATTGTATATCCTTTCATTTTAAGGCCACAGTGTTACCGACGAATGCGTTGAGCGTTAGCCTAATAACTTGGTCAAATGCCCTGAAACGTAAATATATCCATGCATTACCAGTATAAATATATATTTAAAATCTATTTTAATCAACGTGTTAATATAAAATGATACAAATCTCCAGCCCTTTGTCAACCCACTGCTGGATGCTGATCGATGGAGGCATCCCCACATCCTTCTATCTTGACGTTTTTTTAATCACCATACTTCACCATACTGGTCAGTGCTTGTTGGTGCAGGTCTGGTGGTTTTGGGGAGGGGAGAGGGGGAGGCGGT